CACCATTAGGAAGTTTTTCCTGACACCAAGCCTAAATTTAAATTTGCCTCCTTGGAACATCCATCCATTATGGCTGCTTCTGTCCTCTGGGGCCGAGGAAAATAAAGCAGAAAACTGTCTTGTAAGCTCCAGAGAGCAACAGATTAATCAGTCTTTGCTATAACTTGGTCACTCCTTTTCCCAGTCCGGTTTTGGTCATGACCCATAAAGCTGGGCTCATAATAATGCCCTGCCTACTTTGCCTCAAGTTTCCACTTATCTTTGAGTTACTCTTTCACACGAGAGGAAGAGGAAGTCCATCTCCCCCAAGAGTCACCAGATGTCAATGAGAAATCTACAAGGTTTTGGATGACTCTCTGGGGTGGCTTGAAATTCCCACCATTAGAGATAACACTTTGCGAGGTTAAGGCATTGCCTCTCTTTAGGTGAAAAACTCCCTGGTGGCCATTATAAATTGATCCATTGGCTGGAACAGTATGGCGGAACAGAAAGAATACTTAGCTCAGCATCAGGAGATCTAGAATTCTGATCCCAGTCCTGCCTCTAGCTAGCTGGCTGGGTGTCCTTGAGGTAACACACTCGCCCTTAGGTAAGCCAGGTGTAAAAAGATGGGTCTGATCAGATGAGCTCCGAGGTCTCTCTCAGCTCTCACAGGGCTGTGCTTCCAAGGATCTGTTCACAAACCCCCTTTGCAAGGGGGCAAGAAAGTAGAATTCTGAGCAAATAAGAGAGAGGACCACTTAGCCTTGGTCAGGGACAGAGAGAGAAGGGAAAAAGCCAGTGCGGGAGACGTTGCTGCAGACAGCAGCCCTAGCCTGGGTGGAATAGGAAAACAGTGGGGAACCAGAGTAGGAGGAAATAATTAATAATAAGAAGAACAAAGGGGGCAGCTAGGTGGTACAGTGGGTAGAGCACCGGCTCTGGAGTCAGGAGGACCCGAGTTCAAATCTGGCCTCAGACACTTGCTAGCTGTGTGACCCTGGGCACGTCATTTAACCCCAATTGCCACCAAAAAATAATAATAATAGGAACAAGCATTTATTTATTCATTCATTCATTCATTCATTCATTCATTCATTCATTCATTCATTCATTTATTTTTGCTTTTAGGCAATTGCACCCAGGCCATCTGACTCCAAACCTAGCATCCTTTCCACGCTGCCTCCCAGGTGCCAGACAAACTTTACTTCCTTCAGAGTCTGACTGGGTCTATAAGCCTGTCTACCAGGTAGCAGACTGGAAATCCCACTGGGAGGCTTCTCTGAAACAACTGTTTACAGGCTACCTCTTTGGGGTATTATATTTGTTTGCCTTCTCAATGGATTGGGGAGGGGTTGGAGGGAGGGAGAGAATTTAGAACTCAATTATTTAAAATAAATGTTTAAAATAAATATTTAGATGAATAAACAAATGAATGAATAAATAAATGAAGAAAGAGAGAGGGAAAGGAGGGAGAGAAGAAAGGAAGGAAGAAAGGAAGGAGGGAAGGAGGGAAGGAAGGAGGGAAGGAAGGAAGGAGGGAGGAGGAAGGAAGGAAGGAGGAAGGAGGGGGAGGGAGGGAGGGAGGAAGGAGGGAAGGAGGGAAGGAGGAAGGAAGGAAGGAAGGAAGGAAGGAAGGAAGAAGGAAGGAAGAAGGAAGGAAGGAAGGAAGGAAGGAAGGAAGGAAGGAAGGAAGGAAGGAAGGAAGGAAGAAGGAAGGAAGGAAGGAAGAAGGAAGGAAGGAAGGAAGGAAGGAAGGGAGGGAGGGAGGAGGGAGGGAGGGAGGGAGGAGGAGGGAGGGAGGGAAGGAAGGAAGGAAGGAAGGAGGAAGGAAGGAAGGAAGGAAGGAAGGAAGGAAGAGAAGGAAGGAAGGAAGGAAGGGAGGGAGGGAGAGGGAGGAGGGAGGGAGGGAGGGAAGGAGGGAGGGAGGGAGGGAGGGAGGGAGGAGGAAGGAAGGGAGGAGGGAGAGAAGGAAGGAAGAAGGAGGAGGAAGGAAGAGGAAGGAAGGAAGGAAGGAAGGAAAGGAGGAAGGAAGGAAGGAAGGAAGGAAGGAAGGAAGGAAGGAAGGGAGGGAAAATGAAAGAACAAAAGAGAGATAAATAAACACAAGTTACTCTTGGACAGAGGAGAAAGAGCCTCACTTAACTAAGTGACTTTCCTTAGCTCTAGCCAGCAGGGACCTCACAATCCATGTAGCCCAATGCCCTATCATTTTATGGAGGAGGAAGCAGTCTTTGAGAAATGATTTGCCCAAGGCCTCACTTAGTTTTCCCTTCCGTAAAAATGAAGGAAGGGCCTGGATTAGATCAGGGGTCCTTAACCTAGGGCCCCAGAAGTTAGGCTTTTTCTTGAGCTATTTTGATAACTTCAATATAATTGGTTTCCTTTGTAATTCTGTGTATTTTATTTTGTGCATTTAAAAACGTGATTCTGAGAAGCTGTCCATAGCATTCACCAGACTGCCCAAGGGATCCAGGACATATAAAAATGGTTAAGAACTCCTAAACTAGATGAACTCTAAGGTCCCTTCCACTCTCAGTCTCTGGTCCTATCAGCCCATTAAGAGGATGAGGACCCAGGCCCTTATGTTCCATCTTCAGCCCTCTCTTCATGGGGTCACACTGCTGCCTCCCCTTAAGCACATGGCATTTGGTCCAGCCTGGCCTGGCTGATGCCTCCAGCCAGAGAGGACCCCATCTATCCTGCCTCTTGCTAGGGACGGGAGGTGGGGGCACCCAGGTATGGTCCCAGCATCAGGACTCCCTCTCCCCCCAGCCCTGGGCTTTGGCTCTGAGCAGAGGTGACCAAGTCTCTCCATCATCCCGTTGGCCTGCAGCCCTGGCTAGTGAAAACTTCTCTCCAGAGCCTTCTAAGGGATATTAATGCTTCCCTGTTTCCTGCCTTGTTCCCAATCCCCTGCTATAACCACAAACCTAATCAGAATGTTATTTGTCTCCAGGCTGAGTGGGTATAGATGAAGAAGGACAGAGAAGCCAAGGGAAAACTCAGACCTGCCTGTGGTTACCTTCAGCAGCTGGAGCCCAAGCAGGGGCCCCCGAGTTATTCATGTTGTGGCTTTTCTTTTTTTTCCTTTTTTCCATCCCTATCTGATGATGACAGCGCGTAGGTATTTCCTATCAGTCATGAGATGGAAAGACGCTTTGAAGGATGAAGGCTTCATGAAAAAATAAATCTAAAAGCCCATATTACCTGTTGTTCAAAGCTCAGGGGGAAAAATGGATTCTTTATCCAGCTCTCTGATAATTTAAAACCGCTAAAACCTCACATAGGCAAACAGGTATGTGGAAAAGGACGTTCTACCTATCTGCTTCTCAGGGAGCTGGCTTTGAGGGGTTGGCATGAACACAACTCAAGAGGGTCTGAGTTCAACTTCCAGTTCTGCCCCTGGCTCACTGGGTGGCAGTGGAAAATCCATTTCCCACTCTGGGCTTCAGTTGCCTCATCTGTAGGACCAGATATCAAAGGGCCCTTAAGCCCGGGGTCTCTGGCAAAGCAAGTCAGAGCCAACTCCAAACCACATGTCTCTTGACTGTTCTAATCTTCCACCCTGAATGCTACTCAATTTTCACTTTCGGTTCTCAGTGAATCAGGCTGGGAATTAGCCAAGGGGCTAGGAGGCTGACTCCCTGGTGGAGGGAGAGAGTCTGTGAGTCTAAAAAACTGGCTTCTATTGTAAATCAATCAATAAATGCTTGTTTACTGAGGGACTTCTGCAGTGGGCTCTACCCTTGGCCGGCTGTGTGGCTTCACCTGAGCTGTCTGAACAAAGGAGGAAGGGGGGGAATGGGGTGGGGTTCATGGTTCCCCAGGACACACCACATGAGCTCCTTAAGAGCAGGGATGGTTTCAGGCTATTTGTATACCAAATACCTCAAACAATGACGGATATCATCTCCCACCTCTGGACTTTGGTCCCTCATTCCTCAAATTCTTTTCCTTTTCACCTCTGCCTTTCTAGACCCATTATTTCCTTCAAAGCATGGCTTAGCTCAAGCCTCTTATAATAGGCCTTTCCCAATCTCCTCAGTCATTAGCAATTCCTCCATCCTAACATTTCATATTTAATGTGTGTGTGTGTGTGTGTGTATATGTGTGTATGTATGTATACATGTTATGTTTCTGCATGTATAATCATATACATACTATATATAGCAATGTCCATATGCTGTATGTACTACATATAATTATATTATGCACATACACATATAGCACATACAGATATATTTATAAATAGTATATGTTGGTATATAGTATAGATGAATGTATGTATAGCATTTTGTTATTGTTTCCATCATGTCCAATTCTTCATGACCCCTCTTCAAGCCTTCTTGGCAAAGATACTGGAGTAGTTTGATATTTCCTTCTCCAGCTCATTTTGCAGATGAGGAAACTGAGGTAAACAGGGTGAAATGACTTCACTCTGGGTCACACAACTAAGAAGTGTCTGAGGCCAAATGATAACTCTGGAGGATGAGTCTTCCTGCCTCCAGATCCAGAACTCTATCCTCTGTGCCATCTCGCTGCATATATATGAAATATAAAATATATATATATATATACACTTGTATATTCATATATAATATTATATAAGTATGTGTATATATGTATATATAAGATGTACATGTGTGTATATTATATATATGAAAAAAAAAGAGACAGGGTCTCAGAGAACATGATGCAGGGCAGGGGCATCAAACTCAAAAAGAAACAGGGCCACTAAACCATACATAAGGATTCCTGTAGGTTCCATGCCAACTTAGAAAGCCACATATGAACATTACCTGTGTTCCAGTATGTTTTATTTATTTCTTATCTTTCTCTTTTGTCTTTTATGCTCAGTGTTTAGCACAGAGCCAGCACATACCAGGTGGTTAATAAATGCTTGGTGACTTGAATGCGATTGGGGGCAGGAACAGCTGAGGGGGGGTACATGTGAGCATCTTCTCCCCCCTCCTCCCCGCAGGATGCCCTGTCCTCGCTCCCAGCCAGAGCCCCCTCACCTTGGTCACAGGTCTCCCCCTGGTAGCCTTCTGGGCACTGTCGTTGGCACTCGCCACTGAGGGGGCTGCAGGCCACTCCCGGGGGGCAGGCACACGTCTGCTGACAGCCAGGGCCGAAGGAGCCGGGGTCACATTCTTTTTGTCATCCCCATCGATGGGAAAACAGAGAGAAAGGAGGAACTGAGTCAGAGGGGGTGGAAAGAGGGCAGCAGGTCAGGCCCGGCCCTCCCCTCCTCTGGCCACTTCCCCTAGGACCATGCTGCTTACCGTGCTCACACCTCTCGCCCCGGTAGCCCGCTTTGCACGAGCAGCTGCCATCCTTCTTGTCACACTCGCGGGTGTTCTGCTGGACACAGCGACATTCCTCGGAGCAGCCCGGCCCGTAGGCCCACTTAGGGCATGCTGACCACAAAGAAGGAAGGGAGCATGGCGGGAGCTCTTCCACTGTTCCCTATGTCCTCATTCAGCTCCCGAGTCTTCCAAACTACTCTCCTCCAAGCCACTCCGGGCCCTCAGCACCCATCAGTAATTTAAAAAACAACAACAATGTTCCTAGCCTAGAGAGGCAGCATCCAGGGGATAGAAACCATAAGACCTGGGTTCAAGTCTTGCCAGTGATAAATACGGGACCCTAAGGAAGTTACTTCAGCTTTCAGTGATCCAGGTAGCTACAAGTCCCAGAGGAGGTGCTAACCCTCACTGGTACAGGTCTTCCTCATCTGAGAGTTCGCTAGGCCAGTGAAATTGCAGAGCCCTCCCTACCTGCCTTCCTGTCCTACCCAGCATCTCCCACCATGTCAGTTCTCCAACATAATCATACCCCAACAGAGCCAGGTCTATAATTTCTTCAGTGTGGGTGCTCCCTCCACTGAAGCAGGTAGTGACCCCTTATGACTTAGCTGATGGTTTTTAAGAGCCTGCTGTGAGTAACCACGCTGGTGGTGAGCCTCTCTGTGCCTAGCCTCAGACATACAGTCCATTACTGGACCCACACCCAAAGCTTCGTTGGGTTGACGAGTCCTGCCAGAGTTGACTCTGAATGTCTTTATGCCTGCCCCACTAGAATGTAATGTCCATGAGGACAGGAGCTGTTTCTATAATGCCCAGTCCCCAGCACATAGAAGTTGGTTAATAAATGCAATTGACCAATAATAAAAATCAATCAATAAAGTTAATAAATATAAATTCAATTCGAGTTTCATAGAATCTCAGTGTTTGGATGGGAACTCAGCCACCATATAGCCCAAAATGTAGTTCACCAAGAAATACCCACCAAATGTCCATCCAACCTCCTGTTGAGTACTTCCTGTCATGGGAAACTCCCTACCTGTTAAGGGATTGCATTCCACCTTGGGGTAGCTCTAAATGTTTGGAAGGTTTCCTGGACATGAAGCCTAGATCTGCCTGTCTGCCAGCTTCCACCCATTCTTCTGAGGTCAAGGGTAATATGGCTCTTATCAGTTCTTCAAGTGTCCTCTACCAGAACCCATTTGGTACCATATACACCATGTACCAAAGGGGGATGACACTGGTGAAGATGGCCTAAGAATACCACCCACAAACTCCATAAACACAGAAATTCTGAAATGAACTTTCATATTTGAAAGGAAAGAGGCCTTTGGGTCCAAAGGAAAGATCCTTACAGTTAGGAGATCTAGATTCAAGTCTTACCTTTGACTCTTACTGATGGTGTGTGACCCTGGACCAGTCACAACCATTGAGAGTCTCATTTTCCCCACCTTGAAAATAAAGAAAATAATACCTATAGGACTCAGCTCATGGCACTGTGAGAAAAGTGCTCTGCGAACCTTAAAACAACACAGAAGTGTGATCTGCTATTATCACTATTATTATGGTAAAGGTTGCAGCTAGCTGCCCACAGATCCTGACTCACCCAAGTGGCAGTAGCGTCCATATAGCCCAGCATCACACAGACAGGCCCCATAGATGCGATGGCATCGTCCTCGGTTGGCACATTGGCACTTCTTCCTACAGTGTTTGCCGTAGAAGCCTTTGGGGCAACCTAGACAAAGGTGGGATGGAGAAATATAAAAGGGGGAAGGGAGAAATAGGCAGGGGAGAGAGGTAGAGGGGAATCCTCCCAGGGTCAGAATAATGCTGGACAAGTGGAAATCCTGAATCTGAACATAAGTGCCCTCCCCCAAGACCCCAGGCTCAGGGATGGTCAGCTGAGGTCCTCAAGACCTGTACGCTTGGGAGAGAGGCCCCATGACATCGTCGGCTGCTCCAGGAGAAAGTGCCCAGGGACACCTGTCCTAACGGTCTTCCCTTAGGGCTGGCCAGATGTGGGGCAGCTTGACTGAGATTTATGCTATATTTGGAGCATTAATTGCCACACACCAAGAGGCTTGGTCATGAATACTGGGCCTGGAGTCAGGAGGATTCAAATCCTGGGTTCGAATCCTGTCCAGCTGTGCGGCTGTTAGAAAAAAATTTAGCCTTTCTAAGCCTCTGTTTCCTCATCTGTAAAATGGGAATAATCACAGCACCCACTTCACAGGGTAGTCGTGAGGTCCAATTGAGACAAGGGCCTTTGTAAACCTGAACATGCATTCACAATGTCTCTTGTTAGTAGTGTTGTTATGAGCTGACCCTTAGAATGTAAACTCCTTGAGGGCAGGTACTGTCATCATCCAACACCTAGTGAGTGTTTAATCAAGGACAGGTGATGGTTGGAACGGTGATCATTCCCCCACACACGAGGCCCAGGCTTAGTTTGCAGAATCAACAGTGGGATTCTGTGGGGCTCCAAGGACTTCCCTCTCCCCCAGGCCTGCAGCTCCTCACTGCCTTTCATGACATTGGCCCGCCCCTGCCCTCAGGGAAAGTGTGAGCCAAGGAGACCCCAGGGATGCCCGGGGGAGAGAGCAGCAGGGATGGTGCTGTCCATCGTCAGCAAGAAGTGGGGAGATGCTGGGGAAAGGCAGCGATATGAGGGTGGAGAGAACCAGCATACCATCCTCGCAGTGGGCTCCGCCAACACCAGGCGGACAGCGGCAGGTCCCCGTCATCGCATCACAGGTGCCGCCATTTTGACAGCTGCAAGTAGAGCTGCAGTTCTTCCCAAAGGTGCCCTGCGGACAAGCTGCAGAGGGGATGGGAGAGACACACGCTCACTGTCCTGCATGGAGGCTGCACGACCCAGCAGGCTCAGCATTTCTATTTGTGTTCCTGATGCTGAGGCCCTAACCCTGACCACCATATCAGGAGGGGCCCTGGCTATGCTCACTTCACTCCCAGCTCAACTCATTTCTCCATTCTTCTCAACCTTCTCCCCAGCAGCCTCGTCCCCGCCTGGGCACCATTTATCCCTACACCCTCCCCTTCTCCAGCTCCATTTTATGTATTATCTTCTCATTAATATAATGGCAAGGATAGAATGGGGTCCTTGTATGAACGTTTATCACCAGCACTTAGCACAGTGTCTGGCATGCAATAAGTGCTTAATCAATCCTATTTCTATCTCTCTACTATCCATCTCTATTCACTTATCCATCCATCCATCTATCTACCCATCCATCCATCTATCTACCCATCCATCCATCTATCTACCCATCCATTCATCTATCTATCCATCCATCCATCTATTCATCTATCAATCCATCTCTATCTGTCCCCATCTCTAGCTATCCATCTATCTAGACATCTGTCCACCTATCCATTCATCCATTTATGCATCTATCTATCCATCCATCCATCCATCTATCCACACAGCTATTTACCTATCCATATATCTATCCATCCATCTATCCATATAGCTATTTATCTATGCATCTCTCTCTGTCCAGCCAGCCACCTATTCACCTATCTATCTACCTACCTACTCACCAAGAGGTCATGATCTTCCCTACCAAGCCTATTTCATTAAGGTAATATGATGACAAAATGCAATTCTACATAAGAAAGTACAAAGAGCACCAGACTGGGAGTTCAAGGATGTGAGTTCAAATCTCTCTTCTGCGTGACTTTGGGCAAGTTTCTTCACCTTCCTGGGCCTCAGTTTCCTCATCTGTAAAGTGAGGGGGCTCCAACAGATGGTCTCTAAGGTCCCTTCTGGCTTTAAATCCTTTAATCATCCTTTAATCTTATAGCATGACATAGTGGAAAGATCACTGGACTTGGAGGCAAACGAACTCAGTTCACATTCTGTCTCCTCTATCAACTCCATGCCCCCAGAAATCTTTTTACCATCCAGAGCCACAGTTTCTTCACCTATAAAATGGGACTGATAATACTTACACTATCACAACCACACAGGATTGTTAAGTCACCTTTAAAGCTTAAAGTACTGTACAAATGGGACGTTATTACTGTACAAATGGGACGTTATTATTGACATCATCGTCTTCCTAAATAGAAGTACCAGTACAATAGAATTTTCCATTAGACTCTATCTCTTGCCCTTGTCTAGAACGGTGATAAGAGTTCCCAAACCTGTTAGGTATCTCCTCTGTTCTCCTCTCCCTATAATCATCCCTCCATCCCGTTCCATCCAGAAGGCTCAGCAGGAGTGGGAACCATGGTGTGCCCCCAACCCCATCCAGATGACCCAGCAGAAGCAAGAGTTCTGGGAAGTCTTTTGCCTTAATATTCTAATCACCCCATCCCCATTTCTTTCCCCAACTCCTGCCTGGATGCCGACATCCCTGAAGGACAAAATCCAGAGGCCCTGTTCTATTCCAAGTCTTGGAACCGTTCCTTCCTTCCCAAAGATGTTGGCCCAGGTCCTTCCAGCCACCCCCGCCCCCGACCTTGCTGGACGGACATGGCCACCCACACATCTTAGATGAGCAGGAAATCACCAACTCCCACCATGCCTTAGTTACTGTCTTCCCTACCACTACACTTAAGGTCCACCCGATCTTACCATGTGCCCTGCCAAAACATCCTAAAGGCCCTCAATTTCGCCATCCACTCTGATGCTAAACTTGTTTTTAGTTTTATTTTTAATATATATTTATTTCACTAAATATTTCCCAATTACATCTAAAAACATTTTAACACTCATTTAAAAAACTTTGAGTTCCAAATTCTCACCTTTCCCCTCACCCCTTGAGAAGGCAAGCTATGGGATGTCAATTATTCATGTGAAGTCATTCAAAACATATTTTCATATTAGCCATGTTGCAAAAGAAAACACACAAAAAAGCAAGAAAAATAAAGAAAGTGGAAAAATTAGGCTTCACGTTTCACTCAAAGTTCCTCAGTTCACTCCCCAGAGGTGGAGAGCGCCGTTCATCACGAGTCCTTCGGAATTGTCTTGGATCATTGTCTCGATCACAGCAGCCAAGTCTTTCATGATTGATCACTGTTACAACACTGTTGTTATCGTGGACAACGTTCTCCTGGTTCTGCTCACTTCACTTTGCTGATGTTGAACTTCTAACACACTGGGCCTCTCCAGACCCCCTCTGGCTGAACTTTACATATGCTAGCTTCCCCAATCAGAACGAGAATTCCTTGAGGTAGCGACTGCCTATCTCACTTCTCTATCTGTATCCTCAGATCTTGGCACAGTAAGTATTTAATGAATACTTTTTCATTCACTCATTCATTTGTTCATTCACTCATTCAATCATTTGTTCATTCATGCATTCACTCATTCATTTGTTCTTTCATTCACTCATGCATTTACTCATTCATTCACTTACTCATTAATTCATTCACTCATTCATTCATTCATTTATCAGATTCGTGACTTACTTTGGTTGCAGATGATACCTGTCCAACCCTCGGGACAGTCACAGCCGTCTAGCTCAAGGTGACAGGTGCCCCCATTCCTACAGTCATCACACGTCAGGCTGCAGTCATGGCCAAAGGTGTCATCCAAACAGACTGCAATGATCAGGAGAAGGAAAGAAAAAGCAGGCCTCTGAGGGGGTGGCAGCTAACTTTACAATCTGGCTCCAACCTCTCATTCCAGACTTCTTTGGTGTGACCCCTCTCTCTCACCCTCCTCTGTGTTCCAGCCAAACTGGCTTATTTTCTGTTCCCCAGCATCCCATCTCCCACCTCCAGGCCTTTGCTATAGCCGTCCCTCATGCCTGGAATGCTCTTCCTCCTTTCTCAAAGCTGTTTCTAAGAATCCCAGGGTCCTTTTAGGGCTCTCAACTCAAATGCCACCTCCCACAAGAGGACTTTCCTGATCCCTACTGATGAATTATTTATTAATACAAAAGATTTTGTATAGATTCTACCTTCATGTGTAAAAGTCAACATGGATTCCTCCAAATAGAATGTAAGCTTCTTGAGGCTGGGGGCTGTTTTCCTTTTATCTTTTTATCCTGGCACATAGCCTGGCATACTGTTGTTGTACGGTCATTTCAGTCATGTCTGACTCTTCATGACCTCATTTGGAGTTTTCTTAGCAAAGATATTGGAGTGGTTTCCCATTTTCTTTTTGAAGATATATAGCAGTTGCTTGGTATATAGTAGGTGCTTAATAAATGCTTGGTGAATTGGCCAGAAGGGAGGCACTACCTGTCAAGGCCTTTTTCTAGGCAACCGGGCCAATGTTTATGTAAGCTCTGTGCCACAGTGCCCTGGACATGGGGGAGAAGGAGGCCCGGCTGCGTGAGACAAGTTGGCAGATAGGGGGTCTTGTGCTTCTCAGCCTGGCTACTAAGGCCCTCCCAACCCTCAGATTCTGTGATTCTGGGACTTCTCTCCTTCCTCCTTCCTTAACACCATTCCACCAAGTGACCATTTATTATAACCTCTCTACTGTATAATGTGGGGCAGCTACGGGGTGCCATAGTGCACGGACTGCTGGGCCTGGAGCCAGGAAGACTCATCTTCTCGAGTTCAAATCCGGCCTCAGACACTTAGTAGCTATGTGATCCTGGGCAAGTCACTTGTCTGCCTCAGTTTCCTCATCTGTAAAATGAGCCAGAGAAGGAAATGACAAACCTCTCCAGTATCTTTGCCGAGAAAACCCCAAGCACGGTCATGAAGAGTTGGACGTGACTAAAAAATGACTGAACAACAATAATATGTAATATTGCTTCACCGAACCCTGTCTAGGGACCTCACAAGGCCAAATGAGGACAGTATGGCCTTGAGCTTGTGGGAACAGGAATCCAAGCAAGACAAATGATCTGGATTTGATTTGAAAACTCAGATACTTAGCATCTGGGTGACCCTGGGCAAAACACGTAACTACTCTAGGCCTCAGTTTGCTCATTTGTAAACTGAGGGAGTTGTCCTCAGTGGCCTCTGAGGTCTGGATTTATTCTATGCCTCTGGATAAGCTGCTTAACTTCTCTGGGCCTCAGTTTCCTCATTTGTAAAATGCAAGGCATTGTACAAGGCCTGGGGCATGGGGTTGAAGTCTGGGCTAGCTCTGATTCCACAAGGATGAGGGTCTGATAGCCCTTGGCATCTACAGGCCAGGAAAGACCCAGGCCCAGAGGTCCAGGGCCTGCTACCAGAGAGGCCGATTCTCACCAAACTTCTCTGACAGAGTGTGCTCTCCTCTGGCCTCCGCCTCCTCCTCATCCCCCGCCTCGTATTCGTCTTCAAAGAGCTGGGTCAGCTCATCACGCAGCACGGCGATGTGGGGGATGGGCCGTACGAAGGGCTGCCGCCCATCCAAGGAGTCCACTGAGTCATCCAGGGCTAGGGAAAGGAGAGCAGAGAAATGCTCAGACCTTCTCCTCCTCCCTAAGACCCAGCGGGGGCAAGGAAGGCACCTGCAGTCCTTCAGGATACTCAGCCGGGTGGATGGAGTGTTGGACTTGACATCAGGAAGACCAGGACTCAAACGCAGCCTCAGACATTTACCAACAGTAGATGTCAAAGACAGAATTTGAACTCTGGTCTTCCTGGTTGAGGCCAGCTACCTCACACTTTGGTAATCCCAGCCTCAGTTTCCTCACCTGTAGACTTGACAGCCTGCAAGATCCCTCCCAATGCTAAATCTTTGATCCTGTGGTCATCCCACCATCTCTAGGTCGAGCATCCTTGACTCCTCACTAAAGTACCAATATCCATCCCAAGGATGTCCAGGGTTCTTAGAGTGTGAATCCTCTTTTCTCCTGTCCTAGCCACCCCTGACCCTGAGCCCCACTTGAAAGATGACAACAAGATTGCTAACACCTTGCACCCAAACCTGCCGATTCACAAAGACCCTTGAGGGTGTCACCCAATCGATGACATTGTTCCCATGGCCCTTCGTAATGCTGTTGCACCCAATGTGGCAGGTTCAGGGAAGCCCTAAGAGGCAGGGCACAGCTTTCACGGGACCCCTTTCTACTGCAGGGATTTGGGTCTGGAGGCAACAGACCCTGGAGGGCATCCAGGCCAGATGGAATGTGTCAGCCTGAGAGATGGTGCAGGCCAGGAAACATAAACAAATTCAAGGGCTTATGCCAGTTTTCCTGGAAAGGTTTAGGTAAATGAAACCATTTGGATTTAGGGATGTCAACTTCCCCTCTCACTTTCTGAATGATAAGGAAATTGGACCGGTCTTGAGAAAGGGCTTTCCAAGGAAGGAGGTTCTATGAGCATAAATGGTGCAGGGCCATCATAGGCTTCCAGGGGAAGTCAGAGATGCTAGGGCAAAGACATTGGTGAGGAATCATGCCCCCTCTGATGACATCAGACAAATGCCATCCTAAGTTGGGGGACCAGCTGTTGCGGGAAGGTTGATGCAATTATTAGACTGGAGTAAGAAAGGCAGAGGATGCAGGCCAGCGAGATGATACAGTCCCATTATCCTCTGCCCTGGTCAGACCAGACACAGTCTTGGAGCCACTTTCTTAGAAAGGATATAGACAAGCCGGGGATTGTCCAGAGAAGGGTGATTAGGATGGGGAAGGGCCTTAAAACCACACCACATAAGGATGGGCTGAAGGGGGACCTGGGGAGCCTGGAGGAGACCTGGGGAGGACATGAGAGCTGTCATCAAGGAACCCAAAGTGAGGTCATTGGGAAGTTGGAGGAAGCTTATTTTGCTTGGGCCCTGAAGGAGGCAATGGATAGAAGCAGCGGGAAGGCAGATTTGGGGTTGATGTAAGGAAAACCTTTCTAACAAATCGAGTTTTCCCAGCATGGAATGGGCTGCCTTGGGAAGTGGTAGATCTGCCTTCACTAAAGGGGGAGTTGGAGTCAAAGTTGGGTGACCATCTGACCTCTTGCTCAAGGAGAGTTCAGACAAGGTGGTATGTGAGGTCTCTTACAGCTCTGAGACTCCAGGATTTGGGATGCCGAGCACCAGCCCTGGAAGATAACAGGAGCTGCCCTTTTTTTTTAGCCAATGGGAGGCCATTGTGGTCTGTGTGCCAAGGCTTCCCCGGATCACAGACAGCAGGGAAGGGAGGAGGGATCACTGGGACCAAGGACCACCACGGCACTCACGAGTACAGCTCCGCCGATCCTCCTCCAGCTTGTAACCGATTTCACAGGTGCATTGGAAGGAGCCCACGAGATTCTCACAAATGTGCTCACACCCGCCATTGCTGGTGGAACACTCATCGACATCTATGGAAAAAGGAAAAAAGAGTGATAGAACCCTGGGACCCCCGTGGCCTTGAGCAGTCACAGGAAACTGGGGGTGACTTGTGCTAGTTCAAATTTCCACCACCCTGTACTGAGCACCCAGGGAGCAGACCAGTCCCCAGTTGGCTGTGGGCAGCTCAGGTCAGTCCTGAGGCTACTGACCACACCAGCCACACTCAGAGACCATCTTAGAACAGTGGAGTCAAATCTACCTACTACCTGTGTTACCTTGGATGAGTCACTATTAAAAAAAAAAAAAGAAACATTACAACCAACCTCTCCCCACCCCTGGGATATTCAGCAGGGACTCCAAGACAGGAAGAGCTGGGTTCAGACCCAACTCAGATATTTATAGACAAGTCATTTCACCCATGTGAGACTGTTTCCTCATCTGTAAAATGGGGATGATATATCACAGCATCTGTCTCCCACTGTGAGGTTCAAATGAGCTCATGTCTCAGCCTCGAGGCCCAGCTGAAACAGAGGGATGAGGCGGGGAAGGGGCCCAGGTGGACAAGAACAGGGGCCCTGCTGAGCTTACCTTCCCATTTCTCCAGGATGCTGACTCCCCTCTCTCCCCCGGCCCGTAGTACTCACCGTCACACCCGCAGCCATCCGTGCTAAGTCGGTAGCCAGCGTAGCAGCCACACTCATACCCTCCTGGGTTGTTGGTGCAGGCCTGGGCACAGCAGGGGCTGCTTGCACAGTCATCAATATCTGCAGGGACAGTACATATCAGGATACCTCTCAACAAACCCTTGCCCTGCAGGGCTCCTCATCTCCTCAGCCGCCCATCGGGTTTTGACACGCTGCGGCCTTCCGAGTACGGCTTCCCATGCCAATCAATGACACTGAGGGGGTGGATACTAGTCTCCCTAAAGGAGATCTCTTCAGCACCAGGGTGTGTCCAGGATGGAAGGCTGTACTGATTATACAAGCTCTGAGTAGATTACCAGAGTGTGGGGGAGTCAGCCTCAACCAGGAAGATCTGTGTTCAAGTCCTGTCTCTGACACATACTGGCTATGTGGCCCTGGGCAAAATCACTTAACCCTTCTGTGCTCTAAGCAAAGGAGATACCAACCCACCTTCATAAGAGGGAGTTTTCATAGCAATGAAACCATAGATACTGTCCCATGCCTCCCACTACAGTTCAAACAAAGGCAATGTTAATAGGGTCTCTGGATAGGCAGCACACATATGATTACCAGCATCCTGGGGGTAATTAAAGCTCTTTATCCCTAGGCCCAGACCTAAGAGAAAGCCCCCTACTGCAACTCTCACTGATCTGTTTAACAGAGTTAAGACAGAGGAGAAACTTCTATATTGGAAACTATATATGCAAACAGTTTATTATAATTTATACTTATAAAGATGTATGAAAAATCAGTAGCTCTGGGACTTAAGAAAGACTCTAACTCTGGCCCAGGCTTCACTGCCCAGACAGCAGAAGCGCTTCTCGTTGGGGGTGGCAGGGGAGGACGCACAAACCCTCTCCCCCCCCCCCCACGCCGTCCCTGCCTCCAGGAGGCAAGCGCCCCCCGCTTCACACTCCGCTCACCAATGCAAGTTTTCTGGTCCGTGTCCAGCTCATAGCCCTGATGGCAGGTGCAGAGGGGGCCAGAGCTGGTGTGACTGCAGCCGTGTGAGCAGCCGCCGTTGTTGGCCTCACAGCTGTTCACGATCTCCATCTCGATGCCTGGAGAGGAAAAGGAAGCTCTGGAGGGCAGGGACCACTTTTCCTTCTGTCTCTGAGCGCTCTGAACTTACTTAGCACAATGTCTGGTTAAGATACTTATTGACTGGGGAGGGGGAGGAAGGGTAAGGCAAACACTCGGCAGCCTGGTATAAGGAATGGACTGCTGGAACTAGTAAGAGCTGGCTTCAAATCCTGTCTCAAATATTTACTAGCTGGGTGACCTTTGGCACGCCATTTAACCTCTGTGCCTCAGTGAACTCATGTGTAAAATGAAGGGTGGGAGATGGACCAGGTGGGCTGTAAGGTCTCCCCCAGCTCTCAGTCTACACCCTTGTCTGGGGCATCTGAGGGGACAACATTACCCAGCCTCTGGGGGAAACTCCCATAAACAGGAACATGGCCCTGGAGCCCCCGGAGGGCATAAAGCTTCATGCCCTAGGAAGGCTTGGCCGTTTTGGGGGAGAAGCTATGAGAACTGGGATTCTTCTCAAAGGGAGGTGCTTAATAGAATCTTTTTTTTTTTTGGTTAGGTAATGGGGTTAAGTGACTTGCCCAGGGTCACACAGCTAGTAAGTGTTACATGTCAAAGGCTGGATTTGAACTCAGGTCTTCCTGAATCCAGGGCCAGTGCTCTATCCACTGTGCCACCTATCTGCCTCTAGAATCTTCTTTCGAATAGCTTTGCACAAATTCCAGGCTTATCTTAATCCTTCCTCCATGGAGCTTCCCTTCCCTGGGAGAAAGGAAGAGGCTCATGGATCTGGAGCAGGAAAAGAGCCCACAGGACATCCAATCCAACCCCTCCATTTTACAGATGAGGAAACTGAGGCCCACAGAGATGAGGTGACTTGTTTGTGGTCATACAGATAGAATGAGGCAGGGCTGGGATGTCAACATAGGTCCTAAGATGCCAAAGCCAGCTCACTTTCCATCATCACAGGGCCTGTCCGCACACGACACAGCCCAGGATGCCAGCATACACAGGCTGGCCCCGCTTAGGATCTAGGGAGGACCAGGACCCCTGGGAGATCCACAACCCGAGTGCCGGGGGGCCATACGTACGGTAGCACTGCCTGCTGTCTGATCCCAGCTCATAGCCTGGGTTGCAGACACACTTGAAGGAGCCGCGCGTGTTGAGGCAGCCGTGTGAGCACATGGCCAGGCCCAGGGCACACTCGTTCACATCTGGAAAGCAGACAAAAAGCTGAGGCCCCATGGACAGATGAGTCAATGACTGGCGCCCCCAAGTGACCCAGTGTCCTGGCAAGTCAACTTGGCTCAATTCTGCAAACATCTACCAAAGAGGAAAAACGCATCTACCTCATGCAGAAGGCTATAAGGAAGCGTAAGACAAGTACAAAGGAGAAGACCAGGCGGATTCTAGGAGAAACTATGGAGGGACAGGTCATTTCCACCCGTGAAAGGAAGGAGGGAAATAGACATTTATTAAATTATTTATGTTATTATTATATTATAATAATTATTTATTATATATTATTAAGTTATTAATCTACCTACTATGTGCCTGGCAGTGGGCAAAACCTTCACACATATTATTTCATCAGATCCTCACAACAAGCCTGGGAAGTAGGTAACCCTGCTATTATTATCCCCATTTTACAGAGTGGGAAAGTGAAGCAGACAGAGGACAGTGACTTGCTCAGGGTCACACAGGCTGTTGTTGCTTATCCATTCTCAAAGGGCACCAATGGCCTAATTTATTTATTTGAAATTTTAAAAAAAATTTTTCAAAAAACCAGAACAATTTGTTTTTTGTCCTGCGAAGTTTTCATTTTTGATTCTTGAAATATAGCTCTGGAAAAAAAAAAACAGGTTTTAAAAAGTCCCTTGGGTTTTAAATGCAGCTGCCTGACTACACTTTTCAACCCAAATCACTCTGGCCCTTACTGAATGGCCAATAATAGCCCCCAGCCCTCCCCTCTGCAGCAGCAGGTACTCAATAAAGGCTTGATGATTTAACTGATTAAAATTAAGTTGTCACACCTGGTGCCTTCTGACTCCTTCTAAAGAGAGTATAGTTATCCGTTCCACAACACAACTTTCCCCAATGTGGTTTTGATATATCGGGGTTGGCATGAGAAATTAAATGGGAATTTTAGGGGAGTTTTGCAGAAGCCACAGATGGCATGCTAAGGCCGGCAGACAACACAGAGCCTATGACCAAATCCTTAACCCAAATTATACAATAAGGTGCTGTAAATACCCTGTTAAAGAAAAAGAAAAAATTCAGATTTCTTCTTTGGTACTAAAAGAAGGGCCAAAACATTTTCCATGGATTTTCCAGATGGCAGGGGTACCTCCCCCTAACCCCAGCGATGTGGACGGGATAACTGAATTGATAGCTTATAAGCATTAGCCCTTGAGTAATTTACAAGCCTTCAGCTTTTTTCACATCTTAATAAGCCAAATTGTATTTTCCAACATTGTTTTCTCCACCTTGCCACGTTCCTGCTTTTGCAATGAAGTCACTGAATGTCAATTGTAGGGACCAAACCTATGATTTCTCCATTACAGGTAACTCCCAGGAAGGAAAACTCCCTCTCCCCATGCAGATTGACACTTCTGTATAATTTATAGTCTTAAAAGAGTGTCCAAAAATGCCAAAAGGTGAAGTGATTTGGCCAGGGTCACAAAGACAGTGCGCGCCAAGGGTAGCCCTTGAATCCCTGCAGGTCTTTTTAGCTCTGAGGCCAACTTTCCACCTTGCCATGCTGAATTTCCACAAGGTATATAGGTATTTTTTTTAAATAATAACTCATATTTGGGAAGTAGCAGTTGGATTGGGTAATTAGCAATGAAATTACAGGTTTAGACCAAAATAATCATATTAATATTAATAATCCATATTTGTTTTCCTCTGGGAAAAATAGCAGGGTTTGGTAATTATGCATAATGATAATAATTCTCATTTACATGAGAATGGCTCATTTTACAGATGAGGAAACCAAGGCAAACAGGGTGAAGTGACTTGACCAGGGTCACACAGCTAATAAGTGTCTGAGGCCAGATTTGAACTCAGGTCTTCCTGACTCCAGGCCTGATGCTCTATGTACCTGCCAGCCCAGGTTCAGAAAAGCTTGGGTTCACATTCCATCTCTGACACGGCCTGATTGTGCAGCGCTGTTCTGAGGCTCAAGCAAATCCCTAGACTCTACGTTGCAGAATAGTGATTGATCCACATTGGTGGAGGGCCTTTCCTTACCGGGAGTCTCTCACTCCAGTGAAATCACAGGTTCAGACCAAAGTGACAAGGACAGCAGCCATGTTTACCTTCCCGGATTTGCCAACGATCTTCCTGCTCTCTGCCGACTGTCCCCAGTTGATCCTGTCTATAGCTTATTTGTACATAGTTGTTTCAATGTTGTCTCCTCGACTAGACTGGAAGCTGCCCAAGGGCAGGCACTGTCTTTTGCCTTTCTTTCATCCCTAGCTCTTAGCACAGTGCTTGGCACACAGTAGGTGCTTAATAAATGTTCACTGAATTGAATTCAAGCACTTTCTTCCTACTCTTGTGTGGCAGGTGGTACAAATATCAGTCCAGGGCAGCCCACCCCCACCAGGAGCACAGAAGAAAGCCTCCAGGTTGTCCTACCTTCACACGTCTTGTGGTCTGCTGCCAGTCGATATCCAGCGTGGCACTCACAGTGGGCCACCCCTCGGCGGGCTTGGCATCTGTGCATGCAGCCTCCATTCCTGTCCGCACATGGGTTCCGTACTAGAAAGGAAGGTCAGAATCGTCATTGCCTTGATGAGTGGGGAGTAGAGGAGGAGGAGACAGATAGGGAAGAGCCCTGTGTAACAGCTGGACAGGAGATTCAGCACAGAAGAGAGGGGATGCTAATTAGCTGGAGTCTTTTCTCCAGTATGAGGGAGGTTGGACAACAGTTTGTGCAAAGATCGGGGGTTTCAGTAGACCACAAGCCCAGTTTTAAGAGATGCAGAGAGTTAGGGATTGGGAGTGATGGTCCCTCTGTCCTCTGCCCTGGTCAGACAATTTCTGGAGTACTGGGTTCAATTCCAGGCCTCCCAGTTTAGAACAAGCTGCAGGCATCAGTGGAAAGAGCCCAGGATCTGGAATTGGAGGACCTGGGATCAAAACTTGCCTCTGATGGTTATCTGTGTCACCTGGGCAAGTTCCTAAACCTCCCTACGCCTCCACATCCTCTTCAGTAAAGGGAGAATAGGACAGGTGCCCTCAGAGGTTCCTTCCGGCTCTAGACCTAAGATCCCATGTCCAAAACATGATGGTGTGAAGACCACGCCACACAAAGATCCAATCAGTGACTGGGAGCTTTGGTCCAGAGAAAAGAGGCCTGGGGAAGGTCAGGAGAGCTCTCTACTGTGTGTCTGAAGGGCTGCCCTGGGGAGAGAGATCAGACTTGGCCTGCTTGGCCCCAGAGGACAGAATGGGGAGTGAGAGGCAAACATTATACACAGGCAGAATTCATAACCATGTAGGAAAAACTTCCTGGTCACCAGAAGCATCGAAAAATGAATGGTGCACCTCAGGAGATCTTGTACCTGTCATCATGAAGGTCTTCAAGTGGGACAGATAACCTTGGGTTTTGTTCAAATATGGTACTTGTTAGACTGGATCATCTGAAATCCCTTCCAACTCTAAGATTCTTGAGTCAGTTTTTCCTTTCTCTACAGGAGAGATTGGGAGGTCAGCCCCCTTCCTGATGGGGAAGGAGAAAGGACATCCACAGCATTTCATTCTCCCCACCCCTTTGGGAAATAAATATGGCAGAGAAGGAAATGCCAGGGTCAGAGAAGGTCAGGAGTTCCTCATGGAGCATCTCACCTAGGCTGGCCCTCCCTGCTAATATTCTCAGAGGGATCCCTGAAGGACATATATTATCTGGAGTCTGGTTTCCCAGCTAATCCCCCAGCGCAGATGGACATAGTATGCGTTTATTGAAAAAGCAATATGGAGAGCTGACTGAAACGTTTCCCCAAGAAACCCGACACACTCTCATTCCCAAACACTAGTCAAGAGTGGAGAGAGGAGGCCAACCTCTTTTTGGGATCTTAACTTTTCCCTTCTCCAAGGCATGCCAGGTGCTGACCTACTCCTGAATCTAGTCTGACCAGAAGCAAAGAACATCCTCCCCGTTCTCCCCACCTAGCGGTGTTCAGTTGTTAAATGCCCCCACTTTCTCTCCTCCCAGGCCAATAGAGCTAGAGTCATTAGGAACCTCTGTCCCTAAGGCATTGGTCTTTTGCCCCTCTGGGAGGATCCTAACTGGAAGTGAGATGCCAGGGAGAGCTTCCCACCACCCAGAGCCTTCTCTCCACTTCTTTTTGGTTGACTCCTTGACACTTAGATTTGTGCCATTCCAAAGATGCAGACCCAAGAATTTCAGGGGAGGTTAGGGAGGAGGTTGGCCCCAGCTCCAGAATCAAGATGGCAGGGTGGGAAAGGAGTAGGCACTAGATATGGCCAATTCTTCCTAATTCCAGGTATGGTTTCTAAGTAATAAAACCATCCTTGAAAACTGCCTCTCTCCAGGACTATGAGGAACTTAGGGGAAAACTGGACGCTTTTCTGAATACCCCCCAACTCTCATGGGATCACAGAATCTCATGGTTGAAAAGGGCTTCATCAAGTTGAATTTGTACATATTGGCTCATCATAGGTCATTGGCCTGGGTAACACAGAGAGAAGTTAGGGGACAAAACTCAACTTCTCCCCAGTAGGAGCTAGTTAAAGGATAATCTCACCTGAACCCATGAGAATGGAAAAAATGAATTTTAGGCCTTTTCCCCCTCAGTCCTTGAAGTCCGGTGCTGTACATTTGAGTCACAGAATTTCAGAGCCACAAGTCCAGTTGAGTCAACAAGCATTGATTAAACACCCACTATGTGCCAGGCACTGTGCTAAGGGCAGTGATGACCTCCAAAGCCATCCAGTCCAATCCGCAGAATCTACAACATCTCTGACAAAGGGTCAGCCAGCCTCAGCTTGAAAACTTCCAGGGATGGGGGACCATCACCTTTAGAGGTAATCTTGTCTACTTCTGGACGGTCCCAGTTCCCAGACCCCAAACACTTGAAGGGCTGTCACAGTGGATAAGGGATTACACTGGATTGGTTCAGTCCTCGAAAGATGAGCATTGTGTGGAAATTACAAAGAGGTATGTTCCAACTCAACGTAAACGAAAATTTCCTGACTCTCCAAGAGCGTGACTTACTACCTTGGGAGGTAGTGAGATCTCCCTCAACAGAGGGATCTCAGAGCAAAGGCTGGATCTCTGTTTGTCAGGCAAGCTGGAGAGGGCTGATTTCTCCGCCAGTCACTTAGCTGTCCTGTGCCTCAGTTTCCTCATCAGTAAAATGAGGGGTTGAGTTAGACAGCTTCTGAGGTCCATTGCAGCTCTAAGCCGAGGAGGCTGTGATTCTGTGACTCAATGGCCTCTGAGAGCCCCAGACTCCCTGAAATTGTTCAGTTCTGAAATCTGTACTGTAGAGCAGAGGCAGCTGGCGGGTATAGTGGACAGGACACTGGACCTGAAGTCAAGAAGATCCAAGTTCAAATGCAGCCTCGGGCACTTACTAGTTGTGTGACCCAGGGGGAGTTGTTTGCCTCAGTTTCCTCAATTGTATTATGGAGATAATAATAATAGCACCTACCTTGCAGGGTTGTTTTAAGGATCAAATGAGATATTTGTAAAAAGCACTTAGCACAGGGCCTGACATATAGTAGGCACTTAATAAATATTTATTCTCTCCCTTCCCTCCCCTAGTAAAATTCCAGACTCCAGGCATGAAAAAAAAAACCCACACAACTTAGTAAGCAGTTTTTCCAACCAGCCCCACCCTTGTACTCAGGTAAGTTGATTCCTAAGCCAGCTTCCATATGGAAAAAGCGAACTTAGTTTCTGGTTTTTGCCCCATTCTCTTTCTATTTCACGCATTCCAGCATCCCAAATTTTTCACTATTAGGAAATTTTTTGCTGAACCTAGCCTAACTCCCACATGCTGCTGCTTAAGCCTATGCAGTTACATTTTTTCCTGGCTGTATCTATTTTTAGGTTTGAGAAACTATAAAGGAAAGGGGGAAAATGTGACCATTAGGAGGCCTTGAACCTTTGGGTGGGAAGAGACAGGCAGACAGCCAGACTCAGTTTCTACCATCCTCCTGAGGCTGGTAATGGCGCTGGCACCAGCATGAGCTGGACACAGTCATGTTGGCATCTACCATTGTTGATGGTATGGGAGAGTCAAGGGACTGAGCCTGGGGTCAGTGAATGTCACCCAAGGTCACACAACACACAAAGTCAATGGCAGGACTGAGGCTAGTACTCAGGGCTACTGTCTCCTGGTCCAGGGAATTTCCCAGGATTCTACTACATTAAAAACCCTTGCCCTTGAGGGCCTACCAAGATTAGACTAATTATAAATTAGATATCTTTTTTTTTCTTCCAGGCAGTTAGAGTTAATTGACTTGCCCAGGATCACATCGCTAGTAAGTGTCTAAGGCTGGATTTGAACTCAGGTCACCCTGACTCCAGGGCCAGTGCCTCATCCACTGTGCCACCTAGCTGCCCTATAAATCATATTTCTATAGCACTTTACATTTTAAGACAAGGAGGCATAATAGAGAACTGACCTCAGAGCCTGGAAGAACTGGGTTCAGGTCCTCCTTCACTTCATGTCTCTGAATCTCAGTTCCCTCATCTGTAAAATGGGGATGATAATAATACATGGAGGGCCTACCTCACAGGGCTGTCAAGAAGCCCAAGTATTTTTAAAGCATTTTGTAAACTTTAAATGGCTGTAGAAAAATGCATTATTACTATCTCTTATTATTGTCAACAAAATGCATCCCTCACAGTAACTCAAAGATAAAGTAGGGCTAAGAAATACTATTATTCCCATTTTATAGATGAGAAGATCAAGGCCCAGAGAGGTTCAATGACTTGTCCACTAACTGCCTCTCTCCATGAAGCCATTAAAAAAAACCTATACTTCCTTTGAATGAACAGCTGTTTAGGCACATATTTCATTCCATGGTAAGTACTCAATAATTCAATATTTTACCAAATCAGAACACAATATACAATCGAGATTTTTATACGTAGTGAACCACGAGTAAGTACTACAAGAAATCTCAAACTCAGCACATTCACAACAGAACTCATTGTCTAACCCTCCGACGCACACACCATCGACACGCACACTGGGGTGGTGCGCTACAGTGGGGAATAATCACTCTTCTCACCGGGGAGTAGGAGACATCCAGCTCTCTGTGGGTCGGCTTGCTCACTCCAAGCTGCCCCCACCCTAGGAGTCAGAGGTGGACTATCACCTCATGGTTACATTCAAAAGGATGCCAGGAGTGACCCCGTGGAAGGGAAACACACTTCCCCTGTGCACCGCTCTAGGTCCTGAGCCCCCATGCAGTGGGCTTCCCTTCCAACGTGCCAGTCACTCACAGGGTAACTCACCCATACGGATATGCTATGTACGCACTAGCCACTCAAAATCATAACATTCAAATCTTAAACATAGCCATTTCCTTAACAATAAAGCAAAGGAAACAATAATATTATGGATAATAATGTATTAAGGCAAATGCACAAATAATAAAATGCATCAACAATATACATGTAAACTCAGATCACATTGTCCCACCCATGCACTCATTATCTATGATGAAGAGTAGACACACACAGCACAAGAGGGAGGAAAGTCTGTGTGCTCAGGAGAACT